TTGCATACTATGTCGAGGGTTAGGATGACCGTGAATTATAAATTGGAAAAGGTATAGATCTAAGATGGAGTCGCCTATTTTAAGGAATATAAAGGAATGTTTCTGGAGGTACTGAGGCACCAAAATTCGAACCCAGGGCCTCTCTTATTTGAAGAAGGATTCTTAGTCACTACACAGCAATACACGGCACGAAGATGAGGAGAAGGGGGCGGTCGGCTCTGAAGAGAACGGAATCGAAATTGGTAGCAAGTGTCCAGTACTCAAGTGACCATTAATTATTCGTGGATGCAAATATAAGAGACTTTCGGATGTTGGTAGGTTTCCATGTCCTCAGGACGACGAGAATGAAAATTACTGTCTCCTGGGATTACTGCGCCGTGCATTCTGGTAGAAATTGACCGACGTTTCAGACGTGCTTACGGCCTCCATTATGAGGTCGATCGTCCACTGATGAAGGCAATTAGCACCACTGAAACCAGAGTGCACGTCGCAACATCCCAGAAAACAGCTATCTTTTGGGTGCCCTGCTGACACCCTTGTTAATGTCCGTCTCGAGGAGTAATGTGTAAAACAGAGAGGACCGAACAATTACGCGTCCAAAGTAAAATCTCAGTTGATTTGTTAAATAATCATGGCTCATACTATGTTACTAACTTGGATTCTTGTACACCTGGGTGAGAACGGACATACCTTATTCCCCAGCTCACGTCTCTTGACTCTTTGAAGACCCGGCATAACTACTTGACTTGTAAAACGTTTAAAGTGGAGGAGTGAACTCCACTGCCTCTATTTTGCATCATACATATATGTATACATGACGCCCACGTCCACAAGTATGCTACGTACACTCTGGAAACTGCTATAATGGTTACAAAGTTGTATTTTACGATCGTCTCATTGTGAGCCATCAAACACATTGAGTCTCGCTGTTGAGCACACAGCACATGTCTCATTCGGTGTGGTTTGTTGTTTCAGAACAGAATACTGAAGAGAATGTTTCGATTTGGGACAGCAAGGATCAGGAAAATGACAAAAGTATCGCCATTGATCGCTTCACAATTTGTCTGATTAATCAAATATTATACGAATTTTCAAACAAAGGATGAGTACAACCCGGAGGACAAGACATTCTTAAACAACGCCTGCAATTAAATTGTGTTGTTCAAACTGGATGTTTATAGTCCTCTGAAAATACAACATTTTTTTAACGTTACTAAAGTGTCTCAGTCGGTCTTATTGTTCGCGATGTTCTTCGACTTATTTCTTCACTCCTTTTTACAGAAGGGTATTTGTAAATAATCAGACTACTAAGACTGCTATGATGGAAACTGTGATTAATTAAAGCTGTGTTCTGAGTTAAATTTGAACACACAAACCCAATATTCCAACCATCTTAGACAGTGCAGCACGAGGTGTTATACCACACATTCATAATCATTCCGAATATCGACATTTAAGCTACGTACATCGTCTTGCATGATCAGGTATCGATGTCGTAACACTCATGAGCCTGTGGAGGTAAGTACGATTCAGAGAACACGCACTGATAGTTGTCTAATCGTTTCCTAGTATTCTACGAATTCTAGCACTGGAATACCTAAGTTCGACCACGTCCGGGTTGAAGAAGGAAAATTCTCCCACATTTTGATTGGTAACTAATCATAAGGTTTACGCATAATTATTTCCTTGAAGACTTGCTTCATAATGTTTCGACAAACACAAGGAAAACAGACTGTTAACTTGTAGGATTTGAGGTTTTCACGGCGGTGCGTCTGAAGATGGCTGTCTTCTCGGTTGTTGCGCCGTGTAGCCGACGTTTCAGAGGTCCTTGCTGCCTCCATCATCAGGGTGATAAGTCATCATGGACCTCTGAGACGTCGGTAAACTTCTACCAGACTATACGGCGCAATAACCCAGAAGACAGCCATCTTCAGACCGTGAACTTGTACTTCGTGCTATCTTCATATTCTCAAATTTCTCTTGGCAGTATAAGTTGCAAGAACACACAGAGTATGGGTATTTAACTCACGATGATTGGTTAATCAGTTTCATTTATTAAAATTAAATTAATTTAACTAGGGGGAAAAATTAAAATTCAGACTTGTAAGTTTCATTTCTAATATATAGTATCTATAATGCTATATAAATTTTTGCTTTAATCAGGATTCTTAAAATCAAAGCAGCAGGGACTTACGGAAACCCAGCCTAAACTCAAGTACATTTTAAAGCAGATTTCACAATTGCTTAGTGGCAAGTTTATTAAATTATTCCAGGCGTTAGGAGTTACTAATTTTTATCGTTCTTTGAATGCGATGTTTTAGTGCTGATTCCCGTTCTTTTTAATTTTATATAACGATGCTGTGTCAACTTCGTATGTTATATACGACGAATATGAAATGAGAGAATGAAAATGAAGGGACAGGAAAGGAAACTGTCCGCATTTGACTCTTGACCTGATGGGGAAAAGAGAGGACAGAAAATTGACCAACTCAGATTCCCCAGATCTCCCTAGTAATATTCGACGTTTGATATCCATTTCTTAAAATTAATGGTTGATACAAATGCACATGAATTTTGATTTAATCTTTTCCATCGAGAAGAATTTATCTCGCGCCGTCGTCGATTCTGACCACGATCGTTTTACCAAGAACTGGTGGTCACAGTGTAGACGTAACGTATTATTGCTGTGTTTATGTGTTGTATTGACTCGCCCGCAGGAACGATCACACGCACACTGACGCAAACGGTCACGATCACGACCTAGGTAAAGGCCATGCGAGGGTCTCTCACTCCGCCTCACTCCTTATCTCGTCCCTAACGGACGAACTCCACGTAAGCTGCCTAATCACAAATTTGGAAATGCCTCATTTTCGTTTCCACTGATTGAAAGTCTGCAAACTTAAGAATAATTTTCAGCCATAGCAAAGGAATCTCACTTTTTGGCCCATGGGAAACGTCAGTATTTAGAATGGATATAAGTTAATACAAATGATGGACGTTATTAAATTTTAATCCAAAAATATTAAAAAGATGTGAGTACGTAAAGTTGTCAAACGAGTTATTTGCTGTTGTACATATGCCACTTTACATCACAAGGAGTAAAATATAAACTGTGGGTTGGGAAAATAAGGGGGAGGGGGAGGGGTTCGTGACCGCGTTTCCTTTTGTGGACGGCGAAACATCACGAAACTCCTGGATGCTTTTATACCTGTAAAAACATTTTTAAGGGCAAAATATACAGAAAGCAGCAACAAAACTATTCGTTTCGACTCGAGTATTCTCGTAAACGTGCAAAATATTCGAATATATTTACATCTGTCTTTCTAGTTTTAATTATTTTATAATTATCATTTACGATACTAATTCCGGTTTGTTGGCCCAAAAAAGATTTACTCTGCACTACAAATACAGCCATTTTATTACTCGATGGAACAAGTGAAAGAATGTGATGAACAAAATTCAGGTTTATTAACTCAGATTCCTGAAACGTGGTGAAGAAATTAGGCCATCAGTAAACTCAATGTACGAGGTGCTACTCAAAAGTTCGGGGAATTTGAATTCCACGCGCGAACCGGTTGTGGAATGGCCTGCCGCCGCTAGATGGGGCGAGTAGTACCCTCTGTGTATTAGTGTGCCAAAAGCCGTGAAGGCGAGAGGCCGCGTTCTTGAGTCTCGTGCATTTTTGTAACGTTGTGTTATAGTGGTTCGGAGATTTTTTAAACCTGCATAAGTGACAGATTTTAAGGAGCAAAGAATCTGCATTAAATTTTACTTTAAATTTAAAAAAAACTGCTATAGAAACCCACCGCATGCTTGTGGAAGCATTTGGTGAGAATGTCAAAGTAAAACTTTTTTGTGGTACAAAAGCTTTAAGGATGGACGAACGTCTGTCGACGACGATGAGCGTTCAGGACGACCATCGACAAGCACAACACCAGAAAACGTCGCGAAAGTGCGAGAGGCTATGGTTGTAGATCGTAGACGAACAATCCATGATGTTTGTGCGATCGTACGGGTCCGTGCAACGCATCTTGTCAAACGATTTGAACATGAGACGCATTGCTGCAAAATTTGTGCCGAGACTGCTGAGCAACGACCGGAAAGAACATCGAGTTGCTGTCTGCACTGAACTCAAAGATTTAGCCGGCGATAACCCCAACTTCATCTCCAAGGTCATAACCGATGATGAGTCATGGGATTACGGTTATGACCCTGAGACTAAGCAGCAGTCGTCGCAGTGGAAATCGCCAAATTCACCTCGGCCACAAAAAGTACGTCAAGTTCGCAGCAATGTGAAGTCCATGTTGATCGTTGCTTTTGACATCCAAGGCAATGTCGAGAAGGAATTTGTCCCCCCCCTGGCCAAACTGTCAACGGAGTGTTTTATTGTGAAGTTTTGAAGCGGCTACGGGAGAGCATTAGGCGCAAACGTCCGGAAAAGTGGGAGAACAACAGCTGGGTTCTGCACCACGACAAAGCGCCCTCCCACACATCGCTCGTTGTTCGGACGTTTTTTGGCTTCCAAAAACACGACAGTGATTCCCCACCCACCCTATTCGCCTGATCTCGCCCCCGCGACTTTTTCCTGTTGCCCAAAATAAAATTTCGATTGAAAGGCCGTCGTTGTGATACAAGTGAGGAGATCCAGGCAGAATCGCTGGAGGTGCTCAAAACACTCACACCTGAAGACTTCCAGGGATGCATGGAATCATGGGGAAAAACGCTGAGATCGCTGTATCCATGCTCAAGGGGACTACTTTGAAGGAGACGGCGGAAAGTAGGAGTTATGATAAGCAATTGTTTATGGGCAAATTCCCAGAACTTTTGGGTAGCACCTCGTACGTACACACTAGAAAAACAGAAACCAAACAAGAGGTAAGAAAAAAATCTTAAAACGATACATGACATTGATCACATACGGAGGATAAACAATTGAAAAGAGCGTATGGAAAAAAGAGCGTAACTTATGCTCCGTCAAAATTGAAGAGAATGAAACCATTTTGTCGAGAACAGCAATAAAATTGATTGCAAATCACACAGCAAGTACAAAATGAATACAATTTCTCCATAAAGTTAATCAAATGTGAAAACATCTTTACGGCGACTGGTGTCATGTCAGACTCTTGCCAAACGCATCAACACAAAACCGACCGCGGACCTCGTCATACAGAATGCTACCCCGGAGGAAAACCAAAACCGACAGACATGGATGGGCCCACAAGGAGGTCCTCGTTCAAGCTTCAACAGAGGTTCCCAGCCTTTTCCAGTGGGTCAAATTCACACTCACTCACCAACTCGCGGCCAGTAAGTTTATTAAACACGACAAATTATTGAAGCTTCGTGACCATTTACTGTAAATGTTACTATCTTAGTAAGATAAACAAGTCTGTACATCACTCAATAATTTTCTTTAGCAAGATCAACCATTGTTGTTGCTGGAGTAATCTTCCAATATCCGCTTTAATTTCTGTCGCTGAGAGTAGTAAGCTTCTAGTTCTGACTACATTTTAAAAAGTAAAGCTGTCCCGCTACTCGCCATGTAGGCGCTTGGGGGGGAGAGGAATTATAGCTCCTAATCATTCTTAACCTCGGCACCAGATGGAGTGAGTGGTCAGTTTCACGCCCCGGCCGCGCTTTATCCCCGGGAAAAGACCCCGGTACCCTTTGGAAGGGAGGCTGGGTGGGCTCCAGAGCCGGTCTGGAGGAAAAATCCTCTGCTCCTGACGGGGACTGAACCCCGGTCGTCCAGTCAGTAATCAGTTCTGACGACATTAACAAGACCCATCGTCTGATATTTGGGAACTATTTTTTATCAATATGTCTTTGAAAAATGTGCGTGGGCCGCACAAAACAAATCAGAGTGCCACTGGTTGCGAACCCCTGCGCTAGGGCGTGAAGAACACCTAAAAGTGAGAAACTGAAAGACACAAAAGAAACGGTAACGGAATTTTCTTCGTAATATTTAAATTTGTATGGACTATTTTTCGTTAACATCAGAATGTATTAACCAGATACAGGATACGATTACAACGTGTTTAAATTAAATAATATGAGATTATTAAAACAAATCTTAAGAAACAGGTTGTGAGGATATGAAGTAGATTTTGAAGATTCTGGTGAACAGCTCTGAAAAGGCGATAAACCTTCCGAAATTCTTGACTACCTGAACGACTGTCAGCTTGTCAAGAACGGCTATGCTCCACTGAGTTTAAT